CATAGTGTGAAACTGTAGAAGATATTTACCCTTTTGAGCTGAAAGGTAGTATGTTAGGATTTTATTATCATAATAGTGCATGATGCTTTAAGATTATTAATTTTATTATTGTTATTATTATTTCTACGTTTAAAAGTAGAGTTATATTTTATAGAATAAGATGTTTTAGATGTCTTTTTATCCCTACATTTTAGTTAGACTTTAGTAGTATCTCTGCTTTACAGTACTTTAAAACACCAAAATTCTCTATAGACATCCTTTAAGATGACTTTATAAAACTTGGGATCAGCCATATCACTATTTGGAAACCATACAATTATTAAATCCTTTAAAGATATGTTAGTAATACAGCTTACACACTTTGGGATTTCAAATAGATAATGAATTTAAACACATTCTCTGACTTTAAAACATCTCCCTGATAGGCAAATGTTGTAGAAGTCTTCCATGTAAGCAAATGTGATTTCCTTACATATGCAGAAAAGATTGGAATACATATTCTCACATACTCTAATAGCTCATACAGCTGTAAGTTACACTTTCCAGGAATTAGATTATTTCCCTGCTGGAAAAAGACAATTTTATTACATTATAGACACTGCAGTTTACATAAGTCAGTTCTTTCTTTGTAAAACTTACATTTAATTATATGTACATCAAGAGACATTTTAACATGCTTATCAATAGTATGAGAAATTTGGAAATCTATAATCTTTATTGTACTTTTGAAGAGACGTTCTATTTGACTAAGTTGTAAAATGTATTTAAATCAGTTCTCAGCAAGTGTCCTGCTTCTTTCTGATTCTCTGTAGAATTGTATTTATATGTTTTCAGCACTGAGCCTTGTCTCACAGAATAAATGTCCAGCCTCTGCTCTACCTGTTCTTCAGTATGATCAGCTTCTAATCACAAAGCATGTTGCAGATTTCTGTAACCACAAAGCGTATTGCAGATTTCTTTATATTTTTGATAACCCTGCTGGCAGTCTGGTAAGAATCAAGACAGAAGGAGAAGGGAGGACGTGTAATGTTAACTCACAGGGAGGTGGAAGAAAAAAAAAAGCATTTTCTGACAAGTGGTTTGCCCATGTTAAAACTTTCCTGACACGTGGCTGATTTTCCTGGCCTGCACTTCCTATTCATATCTGGAAGAGATAGTACACTCTTGGCTACTAGTGGTGTGGTGGGTGCTCTGTCGCATGCATCAGGCGCTAAACCAAGTATTATGCTGATTGCATAACCAAAAGCACCACACCTAACTGGTCTGGTTTTAAACAAAACAAACTGGTTTAATAGAAAAAAGTGAAATTGTATCATCTTAGTGATTTTCTGGTGAACCAAGAGAATTTACTGAGTTTGTATTAAATGTGCACTAAAGTATTGTATGCAGACAAGCAAACTATTAGGTGAGGCATATATTTGTATTTGCTTACTTTGTCAAAAGAGCTTTCATACATTCTTTCGTTTATATTCATATTCATATCTCTTTATTGCTGAAAATAGGAAGAATTCCACTGAATGAAGTACTTGTAAGAGTGTAAATTAGATCAGATCCATGCATCTAGTGTACATACTGACACTCCCAACATACAGGTGCTAAATAAAACTAGTGGACCATAATTAGTTCTCACAACCATCAGGCCACTTCTCCCTGCTTTGTGATAACTCTCTGTTAACACCAGATTAAATGACTGCCAATCAGTTCCCGCAGGGTGACAGAGGGCAGATGTAGCAGCTGTCACACCATCCCTCTTCAACTACAGGAATCCTGGCTGTGGAAAAGAGGAAAAAATCCAGTCCATGTTAATATCTTCACAGCTGCTGGCTTCTAGAAATTTTTCTTGGCAAATTGGTAACCATTGTAAAATGAAGCAGCTTTCCAACTCTCTTGCACCAAGGCGAGGTAGCTGTGAAAGCTGCACGCAACAATTTTTGTCTGCCTGTATTCATACTTTACAGTAACGTACTTGACTTGCACAAAGAAGTATCCTCTTAGAATATAAGTAAATGTGCCATTGTAAATCATAAACAGGTAATTTGGCATGATAGATCATCCTTATGACCTTGACAGTTAAAAGTGTCCGCCGATAGAAATGTGAATTGCTTCTATCCATTACACTGGGTGCAAAAGTAATACTGGATTGTGCATTCTGTGATAATAGAAAATCATGGAATTTGAGAATTACTCAAATTTATGATCTGTCAAATGCTTTAAGATTAGCACTCTGGACTAAGGATTTTTTTTTTTTTTTCTGTTTTCTTATCACTACATTGAAAAGAGTTTTTGTGATTTCTATTGGCTTTTAATGGAAAGAGATTAAACCATGGCTTTTGAGAACTGTATATATACTAACTTGAAAAGATAAAGTTGTATGACCCTATAAAAAAACATTTCACATTGTGATACCAGTATAAAGGATGACTTACCTTTACTGGATTGTGCAGCTCACTAGAAATCTCTTTTTTTTTTTTAAGGAATTCCAGTCGATGTTGCAGTCAACATCTTCATTAACAGCTTTGGGTCAATTCAAGAGACAACCATGGTAAGACTGAAATGAAGTTAATAGAGTTAGTAAATTAAATTTCAGGCTGAGGATTATGAACTATAAAGTAAAAATAATTGTTATGATTGTAGACATTGAGAATTGACTTAATGGGGTTAGTGATTGACTGTGCTTTATGTCATAAACCTATTAATCTGTTTCACTCTATATTTGTCCACTCATTGTCATAGCTTTTAGAATCTGATGTACACGAAAGGAAATCCATGGTTTCTAAGATGCAAGAAGTATACACTTATTTCCCTAAGTTATTAAGTTCAGGGGGAGAACACATTTGGTAGTATGAATTAAGTGTCCTCTTCCTGAGAGTTAATGTATAAGTTGCTTGGTGTATTACTAAAGGGAATACTAGGGCTGTTTATGAGAGAAAAAGCACGTATGTGCGTAAGGCTGAAGCATACAGGTTCTCTGTTTTATGTAGTTCTGAGGATAGGAGTAAATTCTGGAGGAATAGAAGGAGAAGGAGTAAAGGAGTAGACCATCAATGACCGTACTCCTGTTAATTTACTGTGCGAGAGAGATAAACTGAGGAGTGAAGTTTCTAAAAATGTGTTTCCAGTTTAGTCAGAAAATTTCAACATGTCAATAACAGCACCAAATAATCCTAATTACGATTTTGACTTATTTTGTTTCAATAGGAAATAAAATCGATTTCAAAACAAGCAAAGCCCTTTCAAATATTTCGGGACTTGAAGATCTTTTTTGCAATGGTATTTCCAATAAATACCATCAAAAATATTGCCAAAAAATTACCTTTAATTGTCGACGATGTTCTGACCTGATCAAGGTTTTTCTTTTGTGTAAAAAAGAGAGGAGTACACCATATCGTGCCAGTATATGGGAAGCCACAGCCAGGGCATGCACTCAGAGTGGGAGTTCTGAGGTCCTCCCTGAGTATCCCATTTAGAAATAACTTTGGTGATCTGTGGATCCAAAGCATTGAGGCAGTTCCCAAAATCAGGCTGCTTTTTTTAATGCTGTGACTAAGGCAGCATTCCTACTTATAATGGCACAAAAGCAATACACCATAATACAGCTGATAAATAATAAAACACCTTTTGTTGTCAGTGGAAGTAGGTACCCACTTAAAATTCAGAACCAGCTTACGTGATACCCTAATGACATTTCAGTAGGACTGCAGAGCCCTTCAGAGTTAAACATATGTGATGGCTGAAACAGCTTTTGAACAGCTTGGACAGAAATTTCTGTTTCTTTAACTAGGAGTGAATAAAGATTTAGATTTGATTGCAAATGATAGTAAGCCAGCTAAGGCATTAGTGGGAAGTGATATTAAAACAAAGAATGTAAGTATGCCAAAGATACCTCAAGATTTATTTCCTGAAAACAAAAAGGGGACTGAAGTTTAAAGAGGGGCAGGAGGAAGAGCAGGAAAGTAGGAGTGAGATAAGTGTCTAAGATGGCAGGTATATTAGGCCAGATGGCCCTTTCAAGTTTCTGAAATTTATTGCATGCTTTAAAAAGTGACTTTTACAGAGGCTTTTTTACAATTCACCCAGATCCAAATAGTAACAAAACATGAATGTGAGGGGTGTGCTCCCCCCCAAATTAAGCATGCTCTCTACAGCAATGCATGTATGCCTGTCTGTGAATTCCTGATATGGTCACTTACAAATTTACTAGGATGTTCTGTAAGATAAGTCATGCTTTCCTCCATATTTCAGAACTTCAGACACCATCCTCACTTTAATTCATGCTTTTATTTAGATTTCTATGTGCAGCCGATCACCATGATAGCTAAGCATGTTTATGTGAAGTTTGGATTACTTCTTGGTTGCCTTAATATATCAAAGGAAGTACTGACAAAAGAAACAGTCGATCTGTTCCCTGTATATCACTTGGGAAACCTTTCCTGGTGCAGAGGTCATTGGGTCCTGTGGACATACATCCTCTTGGGGATAGGTTGGTACTTGTCTTCAGTCTGGGCTATGCATCAGACAGTGAGGCAACTCTCTTAGACCAGGAAAAAATTTGTACCTCCAGAATCACAGGAAAAATGTTTCCTGCAACTGAGGCACCAACTCTATGAAGGACCAGAGGGGCCTCTTGCATTCAGAAAGGAGAGACATTTGCAGAGAGTAACAGAACTGCTGAAAAATGTTCCTCAGTGTTGGAGAGGAGAATGACTGACTGCATCTCTACTGTCTCAGGCGTTGGTGTGAATCACGAGGAATATTGATTTCTTGACTGTCTCTAAAGTTACCAGAAGCTACTAACTGATTGGAGTGATATCATTAGTGATACCAAAATCTGTAAAATAATACATTTCTAACTATTTCAGTTGATGAATTATTGTGATGATTTTTGGTGCCATAGCCACTTCTGGCTGCAATAGTTGAATTCATAGGCTCTTACAAAATCTATGCGAGGGTAAAGTGTCCTGTTTTAGCCATGCTAGAGGGATGATTCCTTCTTTTGGGTGATGGAAGGGTGGGGAAGAATAACCATGGGTGCCAGGTGTTTGGAAGTGAGGTGGTGGTAGAAGGCCCAGCAAACAAATGTGTAGAGTGCTGGTGAGAAAAGGCCATTTGACGTGCTGATTTCCTTTTGTTCAGAAGAATGGTAAAAGAGATGCAGAAGGAAATATCCTCAACAAGATGTCCTATACCCCACTCTTAGACCACTCTCCGAAATAGCCAACTCTGGGCTTAGTGTCTAGAACTTCTACCTAGTCAAGAGGCTGCCACAGTGTCCCTTGTCTTGACATCATAGTGGCTGGTTCTGATGGTTCCGCACATATTTCAGGAAATGATTTTCAATTATTTTTTGCTTACTGTCCTTCTGGTCCCATGATGATTGCATTCTTAGCTATGCAGTTGGCTCATCCTCAATAAAAAAGTAGAGGTTACCTCCTACTGAGCTACAGTCTACTTACTTTTAAGAAAGAAGGGAATTTGTTTATAGGAAAGCATCTACAGGTTTGAAGTAATATTGGTTTGAAGCAAGATGGGACCCATCTATGCCCAGAAGCCTGTATTGCTTTAATTGAGCCCTTGTGAAGAAACTGATGGGCTAATGTTTGCTCTGTGCCTAGAAAATGTAGTGTTTATGTTGTGGTGTTGAAAACGTGAGATAATTGTGACATTTTCACACACGTATCGAACAAATTATGTGGAAAAACCAAACAAAAAAATTAGTTAACTACAGAGTAAATAAGAATTTATACAGCTAAATGGAGAGGAGCTTAAACCAGAGCTGCTGCCTTCTAGTAAGACCCCTTTATCTTGAATCCTGTAACTTGTTTTCTTCTAGCTCCTTAGACTACTTGTCTAGGATCTCCACGCTAACTCTGCTTCTGATTTCGCAGATTTTTTTTTAGACTGCAGATCTGTGGGACAATATGGTGACTATGTCACATTTAGAGATTGTTATAGACTGGGTGACCAGTCAAGGATTCCTAAGGATAGATCCTTTCTGGTATAAATACCTATAGGACTGTAATATTTCAGCTGTGCTGATGATCTGACTGTCTACAGAATGGATATTCAAGGTTGTACTTGCAGTGTAACCTTTCTCCACTGACTCAAATGGCAAAACACCACTTCCTCCTTCTCCTTTACTTTAAAACCTTGTATAAAGGTCTTTTTAATATTTATGTATGTAATGGAAAATTAGATTTCCTTATTTTAATCTTAAAAATTTAATTTTCTACTTTATTAATGGACAGTGCTATTAATCTTCCTTTTTTTGTATGAATGCAGTTCATGTAGAAAAAGCCTTTCATGATCTTCTATGTGCTTCACTTTGCAGAAAGAGATGTATTGGGTATGCCTGGTTTCTAGCCTGAGGAGTTTTTCTGGCCACATGCCCACTGTTTAGTAGGTTGCATTTGAAATATTTCCTAGAATGCCTCCCCTTTTAACCTCCCTGAAAACAGCTTGCCTTCTGTTGGAGTTTCATGGGAAAACAAAGCCCTGTAGAATACTCCTGTGATTATTTTTACCTACCAGGTCCTCCTAGCTCTAATGCTGATGAATATCTCTTAAACACCCCCCCTACACACACATACTCTCTCTCTCTCTCTCTCTCGATCTGAGACTTTTTAATTGCTTTTTGACTGTCCTTTATTATAAAATGCAGATCATTTTGCAATATTCAAGGAATGTTTGTAAAAAGTATAGGAGGAAGACCATGTGCTTCATGCAGACCTCTTCTTCAGCCCCTATTGAACCTAATTGTAGCGCACATACTGAATCTTAAAATCCATTGCCCAAATTTGAGAAGACTGGTTGCAGACTTCTTTCAAAATAGATTTATGCCAGATCATAGTGTATACTGCTGCCAGATGCTGTAATAGTTCTTATGCTAAAAAGAAGCCCTTCTGCACATCATCATCTGGCTAGCCACAGTTTTGTATCCTGGTATTTCTTTGCTTCCTTCTACATTTTCTATATTGCTTCAAGTGTCTTGATGGCCTTCCTCTCCAAGTACCTGTCACAAGTTTCTAGTCATTTAGGTAGGTCTGAACCTTCCTATTTTAATTTAATGGGATTTTTCTTCCATTGACTTAAATGGGAGCAGAATCAAGTTCTTAAAATGTCATAACATCCTGTTGTTTCATATATTTAGGTTTATTTGTAATACAGCAAGGAAGAAAATAAAATAGCATCCACCTGATCTTACTTCCAGTTCTTATTTTGCCAGTGCATTCTGCTTTTAAGTGATGTAAACATCTTCTTCTGAATGACTAAGCTGAAGCAAGCATTGGACACTGCTTATCATTTGTCTATGGCTTTGAGAAGGCTTTTTTTTTTTCGTTAAAATTAGGGTAAGGCACTTGTTTATGGGGAAATTAATTTTGGTGTAATGAATAGTGTAATGCTTGTGAGCATGAATGGTATGCAGTATTTATCTCATGTGGTTTAAAGTAGTTGTTTTCACTGAGGCAAGAAGTGTATATGGAATGGGAACTTCAGCAAGAAGCAAGTAAAGTAAATTTTCAAGTACATAAATATAATTGAAAGGATGCTTTCTGAGATAATGACCTGAATTCCCTTCTGTTCTGAAGCTTCTCTATGAGAGCCTTCCAGTATAAGGTCACTTCATATCAACCATTATTTTATACTTCTTTACTTTGACATGATAATATAGGTATGTGTATAAAGAAGAGTCAGACTACGTATATTTTTTCAAAAACAGACTGCCAACAAGTAACATATCTCTCAGAACTATGCATATTAATAAATATTGCCTCAATTCTTTCTATTTAGTTTTGATACTTTGCTTTTCCTTACAATGCAGTAAGGAAAAATATTATACAGTATAGTGTAATAAATACCTGGGCTGATCTGACTGGTGGGCTGGACATGGGAAAGTGGGCACTATATTGCAGTTAACAGAGTAAATCGACAGGGTAAATTATTCTGCATGAGGTCTTAGACAAGTGAACTCCTTCCTGTGGAGTTAGCGTGACTGTCTCAACATGGCACTTGCTTTGGACTGTAAAGGTATACGTTATAGTAAGCACAACAGAAGAGAACTCACATTGTATCAACAGAAAAATGTGTAAGAGGGCATTAATGTGTAAAATAAACAACTTTATAAAATTAGTTTGTTTTGCAGAATACATTGACAAACCAAAAAATATGTTGAGAACCTTCACTCACACATTTGTAGCATTTTGCTAGAATTGTAAAGCAGCAGCAGTGTTTTCACTGTTCTAAAAGGCACAGCCCTTATCTGAGGATGCTTTGTGCCTAATAGACAATTATGAAAAAAGCAAAACACACCGTAGAAGACAACTAGGAAGACTGGAGATAGAAGTTATCACACATACAGAATTTTGGCTTATTTATTTGGGGGATTTTTTTACTTTATTTCAATAATACTTTTATTCTTTTTCTGTAAGTGATCTGGCTACATAAAAAAAGAGGCACTGGCTTAAATGTAAATGTAAAAAGCAAAAAGACTTAGAGGTAAGACTGAAAAATCGTAACTGACATACTGGGTCAGATATTTCCTTTGGATGCCCACAGCTTTCACTAAGGACAGAACGCGTGCGGGTATCGTTTTGCTGAGATACATGCTACTCCGATTCCTGAAGGCAAAATTAGGTTCTGTCTGAGCATGGCTCTACTACCGTCCATCCTTGAGCAAGAGTCCTGCTGAGTTCAGGGGGAAGTTTCCTCTGTGTAAAGCCATGATTTTGTTTCCTTGAGATCTACTTTGTTCTGCTTTCGGACATGCTACCTCAGTGCCTGTGTTGCAAACTGGCATCAGTTTTCCTCAGTTACAAAATAGTCCCAAATCGCTGTTACAAGGTCTGAGGCTGTATTCTGGATGTGTAGCGTAAAATCTACTATCTACCTAGTCTGCTTTCTGCTTTTATAGTGTGATATTTTGCCATCAGTGTGCCACTTAACCAAATGGAGAATAAGCTGGAATTTAGACTCACAGGGTATTCTGATAGAAGTGATATCATGCCTGCTGCCTGCAGCAATGTAGTGTACTCAAGCTATGGCTTTCCTCCGTCCTGCTGCACACTTTTCTCTCTGCCTAGGTGTTGTGGCTTAACCCCAGCCCATAACTAAGCACCACACAGCTGCTCACTCACCTCCCCTCCAAGGGGATGGGGAGGATAACAATCAGAAAATTCATGGGTTGAGATAAAGACAGTTTAGTAGGATAGCAAAGGAAGAGAATAATGATGATGATGATAATAATTATAATTACATATACAAGTGATGCACAAATGCGATTGCTCACCACCTGTGAAAAAAACCCCAGTGCTCAGTCTGTCCCCGAGCAGGGATCCCGCCTCCCAGCTCTCTTCCCCAGTTGTACGGGGAGCATGACGTGCTGTGGTATGGAATATCCCTCTGGCCAGGCTGGGCCGACTGTCCTCGTTCTGCTCTCCCAGCTTCTTCTGCGCCTGGCAAGGCTGGGAGCCTGAAAAGCCCTTCACTTAGTGTAGGGACTACAACTACCTAGCAACAACTGAAAACATCAGCATGTTATCAACAGTATTCTCATCGTAAATCCAAACCATAGCACTATACCAGCTACCAGAAAGAAAATTAACTCTATCTCAGCTGAAGCAGGACACTGGGTAACAGAGGACTACTATCAAAGAGACAAAAAAATGATCTTGGGGGGAGGATTTGGCCCTTTTTAAAAAAAAAAAATTACTGTATACAAAACATGAGTGAGACGTCATCTACCAGTTTGTAGTAAACTTAGCACCTATCAATGTCATTTCAATAGGGATTACTATCTTTGTGACAGAAAAAATCAGGGCATAAATTGCTTTTCTCTTCAGTCTGATAGAATGGTTTTCTTTCTCCGTGAGATTTTGGCTAGACTTTTGACTCATCTAATATTTATGTATTCTTCCCATCAGGATTATAGAGTCAACATCTTTCTAAGACAGAAGTGGAATGACCCCAGACTCAAACTGCCCAATGACTGGAGAGGTTCAGACACGCTGACGGTGGACCCAACAATGTTTAAATGTCTTTGGAAGCCGGACTTATTCTTTGCAAATGAAAAAAATGCTAACTTCCATGACGTCACACAAGAAAATATTCTTCTTTTTATATTTCGGGATGGAGATGTCCTAGTCAGCATGAGGTATTTTATTGATTTATTTCTACTCTTTTTTAAAATTACTTGATATGAGATACATATGCTGTGTTAGACTTACTAACATAATACAGTTTATGACTAATATTTGAATGTATATGACAGTTTGTAAACAATACTACAATAAATTAAATGCATGTAAAGAAATCAGATGAAGATGTTTTAAAGCATGTCAGTTGATAGCACAGCAAGTGCTAGAAATTTGAAGTGTATGTACATTTGTATGTCATGTTAAACTAAAACGTTAAGTAAACTAGTATTATTGGAAACAAAATTGAAACCTTTTTGATAATTGTTTGGATTCCTGGAAGCATAATGAGATGGATAAGATATCTGAAGTAAAGCCTTCAGAAAAATAATATAATTTGCACACCACTTGAATTTCTACATCAACTAAAGAAAATGATGATTACTTACTAATGATAAGGGAAAGGCAGAAATTACAATATTTGTGCATATAGATGTGTTGTAAAAGTACTGAGACATAATCCTGATTAAGTTCTATGCCTTACCGGATAGAGAATTTTTCAGAAGACCGAAAAATATTTTTTAATTTCATTGCAATTAACACATACTTTTTTGTGGTTTGACTTGGTTTATCAAAGGTATACATCATGCCATAAAAATAATTATCCACTGAAAATAGCAAACTGATTGATTAAAAAGGATCTCACAGTGAATTACAGGTCTGGAGAGTTTATAGACACAATGATTTGTAGAGATTAGGCTCACTTTCCTAACAGTGAGTGAATTTTCTTCTGATGTGAACTGGAACATATTGCCTTGATAGAAGAAATAATGATTACCTGAATATACTGCAACTTTATGGTTAAAAGGGAACCACTTGTGAAACTGTGGTCACCTGAGCTATTTATTCCTGGAGTAGAAGTGGCTAGAGAAAAGAAAGAAGACGGGAGACTCTGGGTTCTTTTTTGTCCATTCCAAATAAGGATGAGAAAACTAAATCTCAAGACTTCTGCTGACGGTGATTGGAAAAGGAAATATATTTGGCAACCAAAGCATTTCATTTGTTTCAGTTGTTTATTTAGCAGGTTTTGAAGTCTGTAGAAATTAATATTACAAAATAGAAAATCACTTTCAGCTATAAAGGAAACTTCCCATTTGACAGAGCAAATGTTAAATGAAATACTGGTCAGCAAGTGGTGAATATTGACTGAATACTAATAGAAGTGTTTCTGATGGAAAAAATCTTCTCTGAAAACTTCCAAATAACAAAACCAAATTCAGTAAAGTTTGAAATTAATGTTGTCCTCTAAAAATATTTTTTTCATTTTAATAATACAGTATGTTCATAAATTATATGTATGCAAGTAAAATTAATCTTCTGAGGCACTGTGGTTTTGTGACATGCTACTAAGATTTTCATTTTTTAAAATATATCGTTGCTATGCCTTGTATTTTTAGTTTACAGATATATTTTCACATATTAATGAAAGAATCTCTGGTTATCAAAACACATGAATGACAAAATGCATGTCAGAGAAAGCTCTTGCCTGCATAAGTAGTTAAGAATTAGGAAACAATGTAGGAATAAACAGCTAATGCTCACATCAGGGGAAGTAAGCAGTAGAGTCCCACAGAAAAATCTCTTCCGAGTCCTGTGCTGTTCAACATAAATCAGCTGGAAAACTGTGAATTGGCAGGCGCTTTTAATGATGCCAAAATATTCAGGATAGTAAAGATAAGAGACGACAGTGAGAATTACTCTAATGACTAGGCAACAAAGTATGAGATGAAATTCAGTGTAAATAACTGAAAATGATGCACGTGGGAAAAAATTATTTTAACTTTACATAAAAACTGATTGGTTTTGAGGTGGTTATTACCAGCTAGGAAAACGACCTTTGGATAATAATGGCTAGTTCTCTGAAAAAGTCAGCTAACAGCTCAGTATTGGTTGAGAAAGTGAATTGAATTCTAAGAAGTATTAGGGATTAAAAAGAACATCATGCCACTCTATCAATTGATGCTGTCCTTGCATCTTGAATACAAGGGGCAGTTCTGGTTTTCCCACTGCAAGAAGAGAGGCAAGGATGGTCAAAGGTACAGAACAGCATCCTTAATAAAGAACAGCTAGCAAGGCAGAACTTTTCACATTGGTAAAAACAAGATAATTGAGGTGATGGCATAGAGGTCTCTAAATCATGAATGGCATAGTGAGAATGGATGGCCATTGATTTTTCACCTTCTTTTCCAGTGAAAGAACTATGAGGCAGGCTCAAGGTAGGTAAAAGGAGGTTATTAGAGTGTATGCAGCTTAGCTGTGGCATTCCTTGCTGCAGGATGTTGTGCATGATTCAAGTTTACACAGATTCCAGAAAGCAACTGGAAGCAAAGCAGCTTCTCGGAGGGGAAAAAAAAAAGTATATATATCTGCCTAGGTCCCTTAAATACTGAAGCATCACTTCTGGTTTAGCAGGTCCTTGTGGTGCAGCTTTCGGAGGCTGCTGGATATCTGGCGAAATATCATTTCCTGATTGCTGCAGTCTCATACTCTTTTTCAAGAGTCTGCCATTGGCCACTGCTGGAGACAGGACTCTGTTCTGTATGGACATTTGGTTTGGTTGTTCTGATGACCTATATGTATTTTGTCATGTATCAGTAGGTCTCTAATTTGTGAACTACTGTATGTTTAAAACTCTCTATAAAGTTTTATTCTTGGACTAGTAGAGATACCTCAATTTCAAACTGCTACTTATTATAACTTTAATTAAATTTTTCTGCTATTTTAGAAACTGAAAATCAGATACCTATGATTTTTTTCTTTCTTATTGCAGTCTACTGCTTACATGGCAGCTCACACTGTTTTTAAATTCCATTTCTGTATTTTCAGACTCTCTATTACTCTATCATGCCCTTTGGACTTGACCTTGTTTCCTATGGATACACAGCGCTGCAAGATGCAATTGGAAAGCTGTACGTAAATCAGTCTGTGCATAAAAACAGTTACCTTCTATGCATGCCTGAGAATCAAACAAAAAATGATCCATTCTGTATTGTTCATGTCAACATTTTTAATGGCTCTTGAAATTAATGTTCACTGGTTCCTACCAACATACATTTCCCTATCAAAGATATTTCTTTTGGTTATGGCACCATGCACTTTTTAGCTTTTGCTATCAAACATAATGACAACTGATGAGTTTTATAAAAACATTTACAATAAACTTAGTAAAATGGAAACACATATAATTTGGAAAAAAGAATCCATGTTTTCCCCAGGTAGTTTTAACTTCCGCCACCTTTGCTGCTTTGTAGGTTGTTGGGGTCCAGTTTATCCCCTTGCACTGATGATGCATGGTATTGTTTGAATCTCTTTTGATACGATACCGAAGTAAAAGTATTTGATGCCAATACATTGAGAGCATTTAGTATTAAACCTTTTGAAAGTGGTTTCAGGATGTGTTGTGGATGTATTCAGGCATCTCTCCCTTACCAGTCCTTCCCTGAGTGATTTGATTTTATGAAGGGGCCACCAGGTCTCATCTCTGAAGGGCTTCATGCCATACTGGAAGTTGCAGCCAAAATGTTTCTGAAACCATCTTCTTGCCTGTTCCCCAAGTACAAGGGTGTCTAGTCCAGTACAGCCGTTTCCCAATACTCCAACCCCTGGTAAATCCCACTGTCATGGCAATCTGTTTTGCTGAGTAAGGATAAGTGCGAAGCAGAGAGAAGGAAGGTGGCTTGCTCCAGCCCATTCCTG